TCCTACTGTCCACCTCCCTCCCTCTTCCTGTCCCTGTTCTGTGGCTCTGCTTAGAGCAGGGGTGGGGAACTTCAAGCCTGGGGTCCGGATGCAGCTCCCAACTTGCCTGGATCTGGCTCCCTACGCCTCAGGGCTCCCCCTGCATTGGGGAGCCTGTGCTGGTGCTCCAGCCCCCCCAGCTACCCCCACCACAGAGTGGGAGCACACAAAGTCTACTAGCCAGGGCTTCCAGAGGCTCTGGTGTGAGGGGAATGTCTGTCTCCTTTTCAGTCCAGGTGCCACGTGACTAGTGGGCTACGTCTAGACTACCTCCCTTTCTCGTAAAAGGGATGTAAATTAGACGTATGGCAATTGCTAATGAAGCGGGGATTTAACTCTCCCATGCTTCATTAGCATAAAAATGGCTGCCGCTTTTTTTCAGCATGGAGCTTTGAAGGATAAGGGATAACTTTTCATGAGGGATAAGAGATCATTCGGAAAAGGCTTTATTTTTCGAAAGATCAGTGTCTAGACTGGCGCGTTTCTCCAACAAAGCTCCGTGCCAAAAAAAAGCGGCACGGGAGAGCACGGGAGATTTAAATCCCCGCTTCATTAGCAATTGCCATACGTCTAATTTACATCCCTTTTCCGAAAAAGGGAGGTAGCCTCGACGTAGCCGTGGCGCTTTCGTTTTTCTGTTTCTCACGTGTGTGCAGCCTCCCGGCTGATTTTTCTGTGGATCAGTCACCCCTGACTCAGAAAAGGTTCCCCAGCCCTGGCTTAGAGGCTAGCAAGAAGATATGTAAATGAGCGCTCCATTTGCATTTCCTCTTCTGCAAAAAACACACAGTGTAGATGTAGCCTCATTTAGAATTAAAGTGTCCATAATTAATTTTCTCTTACTTCAGAGAATGTCCATACAGGAGTTTAATGCAGTTTGACTAACCCACTTTAAATTCACATTTTCAGTTAATTCAGATTAACTTTCCTTAGCATGTAAACAAGCCCTTACCACCATTTGTCCTTGTTGCAAAGACAATAGACAATTCACTCTTTTAATTCTGAAGTGAAATTCTGGTTTTGATTGAGACGTACATAAAGCAGGAGGAGGGAGAGTTGGAGAAAAATTCCAGAGTCAGTCCTGAAATCCCTTCACACTCACATCCAAGGCTGATGCAAGCAGATCTGTGAATCTATATAAACATTGTACTGGAACATCTCTGTAAAAAATCAGACTCGCCCTGTGGGTCTCTTCCTCTGACTGAAGCTCCCAACACATATGACACCTTCTCTCAGACAGTCTTGTTCCCAGAGCCTCCTACTTTTTCATAGAGTGAGTTCATGCAATGCTCAACCAACCTCTCCATCCCTTCCATTTCAATTCACTTTTGAAATCCTGCCAAGAGATCTCTGCCACCATCTCCTGTTAGCAACGGGATCTGCTGGAGACACAGAGGTCCTCTCTTCTCTCAATACTCTGCTTACCTGCTGGTTGCAAAATCTCTGACTCTGAGATGGGCCTTGGTCTCTGATGTAGTCCTGTGGATTCTAAAAATAAGCCTGCAGGGCTGTTGAACTTGCTGGTGAGACATTTTACAGTCATCAGTCAGATTAGGAGCCCCCTGCCCATCACCTGCGCCAGGTGATAGCCTCCGTTTCTAAAGCTGTTTTGGGCTTGGCACACCTTACATTGTGTTCATGGCCACATTTTCCGCATCTTTCCCTTAAGCGCTGCTGAAATCCAAACTCCCACAGTGCTATCCCTGTACAAACATGATGGCTGCATCTAGACTGGCAAGTTTTTCCAAAAAAGCAGCCACTTTTGCACAAAAACTTGCCAGCTGTCTACACTGGCCGCTTGATTTTGTGCAAGAACACCCTGACTGTAATGTACCAAATCAGTGCTTCTTGCGCAAATACTTTCACGCTCCCGCTCGGGAAAAGGCCCTCTTGTGCAAGAGGGCTAATATAGAGAGGGAAGAACCGTTTTGCGCAAAAAAGCCCCGATGGCTAAAATGGTGATCGGGGCTTTCTTCTGCAAAATCGCATCTAGACTGGCCACGGATGCTTTTGCGCAAAAGCACTTTTTGTGCAAAAGCATCCGTGCCAATCTAGGCACGCTTTTGCGGAAATACTTTTAACAGAAAAACGGATAAAAGTATTTCCGCAAAATCATGACAGTCTTGCAGCCCCGTGGTATAAAGTGTCTTCATACAGGTGCAATTGCATCAGCACTGAAGCTTTTACGGGTATGAGCCTGTTGGCAAAAAAATGAACACCCTGTGCCAGCAAATTTATGCTGATACAAATTTTAAATGTAGCCCAGTTGTCAAGCTTTCTCTGTGAAAACAAACTTTTTTTTTGTAGCCATATGGAAGTTTACAAGTGAAAACCTCTGGGCAAGTGCTAAAAATCCCTTGCTCAGCTTACTTGAGGAGATAGAACTTCATGTTTCAAAATGAAGATCCCCCTGTGAGGACATAGTGACATTGATTCTTCTAGTGTTTGGAAGTAGCCCCACAGATTGGGTGTGTGGTTAGATCATTTTGTTTTGGGGTAAACACTTAGCTCAAGCAAAATAAGAAAGAACCATCAAAAGCAAATTCAAAACCAAGTTAAAACTGGTTTTGACTGCAGGGCCTCAACTTGTCCCAACAGACCAAATGCAGTTGATCAAGGGAATGCTTTTCCTTGTTTTTATTGACCAAATTATACTTAATACTGTAACTGGTTTTTTGCAGTCTGTGTTAACTTTGGAGTAGTAACCAAACTTCACCAGAGAGATTCTGACATTGGTCTATAATTCTAGAGTCCAGTCAAAGAGGTTTAGCTATAATATTCACTTTATATTGTAACTTGAATTTGTTGTAGCTAAAGTAAATTGACATGGCTTTTTGTTCTATCCTGTTTAATGAATGGAATTTAAATCAACTGAAACTATGAAATAGTGTTGAACGGTGATGCTATTGGGATAATAGAATTTGAGTTCTAGACAGCTTAGTGTTGAAAGTTCTTAAGTACTACACTTGCCTCTAACTCTCCTTGTCAGTTTTATGATCTTTAGTCATATTTTTTCTGGCTTACATTTTTTTCTCATCTCTGCTTGTGGGAGAGACCCCTATAAAAAGGGGAAGTGATACACAGCAATATGAACAAATTTGTCTACTGCTTCAAGTAAAAAAAATTGATAGGAATGTATTATTTTTAATTTGATGCTGAGCAGATCTCCTTTTAAAAAAAAAACAAATACATATATTATATATTTTGAAGAGATTGTTTGTGGATTTGTTTGCAAAATAAAGTCATACTTTGGTATCTGTAAGTAACTGCAAACTTTGCATAAACAATTCTGCCACTTAAATTAGCAGGATGCAGAACTTTTTACACTGGAATATGCTGGATGAAAGGTTTAAATTTTTTTTGTTTTTTGTCAGAAAAAAGTCATGACTATTACGATTAGAGTTCATACAAAATATTTGCTAACAATTAAAATCAAGTTGCTTATTCAACTGTCATTTTAGTGCAAAGAAAATTTTTACTGTTACACATCACTCTTTCAGTAACTAATTTGAATTATTTTGTAATGGAAGCTTTTAACGAGTGTGGTAATTATTCAATAAAATAATGTTTGAAGTTGAAATCCTACAAATTTAAAACTGTACTTTTACTTCCCTTTTGCAAGCATATTAATTAAAAGTTCTATTGCGCATATTTAATTTCTTTAATTTTATAGGAAAATTCATTTGCCTGGTCAACCACGGACCTCACTTGCTAGTACTAAAATAATTTAAGACAGTGGTTCTCAAACTTTAGCAATCTGAAAACTCCCATTTTGATTTAAAAATATTCATGGAATCCCTATTTTCCCCTGCCCCTTTGTTCTCCTCCCCCCTCACTTGCTTTCACCTGGGAGCAGCTCCCATCCCCCCCCCATCTATGGCCTGCCATGGGCAGGGATTGCTCCAGCTCGGCTCTGTGGCCTGCGGGGCTGCTTGCGTCAGGCTTCCCACCCATGGGATCCCATTTGATCAGTTAAATGTAATGTTTAATCAGTTAACTTATTAAAAGGAATTTTACATCTAGCTACAGCTCCTGGCCAATGGGAGCTGTGGAATCAGGGGTTTGGTTTCGGACTTTGGCGAGGCAGCATTTACCTTGAATGGCTCCCAAAAGTGACTGGCACGCCCCTCTGGCAGCAGCTCCTAGGTGGGGGGCCAGGGGGTCTCCATGCGCTT